CCAGGCTTCTTCCTTCTGCCCCCCAGTTGCTCTCCCCAGAGCCTTTCCTTCTACCCCCATTCCCCACTCTGCTGGGAGTCCCTCCCCAGACACCTTCCTTCTGCTCCTCCCCGTTTCTCTCCCCAGACTCTTTCCTTCTGCCCCCTTTCCCCTTCCCAGACCCTTTCCTTCTGCCCCCCCAATTCCCCTCCTCAGAACCCTTCCTTCTGCCCCCCATTTTCCCACTATGCTGAGACTCCCTTCCCAGATCCTTTCCTTCTGCCCCTCCACCTCCCCTTCCTTGACCCCTTCCTCCTGCCTCTCCAGATCTCTACTTTCTGCCCCCCAGTTGCCCTTCCCAGACCCCTTCCTTCTGCTCCCCCTTTCCCCACTATGGTGGGACTCCATCCCCAGACTCCTTCCTTATGCCCCCAATTTCCTTCCCCAGACCAATCTCTACTCCCCCCCAAGATCCCCACTCTACTGGGACTCCCTCTCTGACCCCTTCCTTCAGCCCCCCCAGTTCCCCTCCCCAGAAACCTGCCTTCTGCCTCCCTGATTCCCTCACTATTGTCCCTTCACTTTGCAGCCTCTTTCTCCCCCATCCAGCCCAGGCACAGTCCCTGCCATCATGGAACATCCTCAACCAATCCCCCCACCCATCCCTAGGTCCTCTGGCCCCGCTGCGATCGACCCTCCCCGTCCTGCCCCACCTCCTGCAGCTCCTCGTAGCTGATGCAGAAGAAGTTCTCGCGGCCCCGCAGCCCCAGCCAGCCCTTGACGTGGTCGAACCAGGAGCCGTACAGAACTGGAAAAGCAAAGGGGGGTGTCACCCCGGGGAACTGCCCCACAGATCGTGGGAGGGGGGTTCCTACCCCAGCTAGTAGCCATAGAGAGGATCCAGTAGCTGTAGGTGGGATTTGGGAGCAGGGAGGGGCGATGCAGGCAGAACCTGGCCCTGCCCCGGGTGTGACTCTGGATTGAGCCTGGGGGAGCCGAGGTCGGAATGAGACCTTGTCTCCACGGTAACAAAGGGACGCTCCAGATCGGCTCGACCCCAGAGGAGCTGAGAGATGTACTGGGGTCGTAGCCTGGCTGGAGAGCAGACTGGGGACAGGGTGAAGGCACCCAAACTACAGCTCCCATGATGCACCGCAGCAGTAGGGCACCCGAGATAGACTGCAGTGCCTCATGGGAGTGCCTGACCACAGTGCACCATCAACTATTGTTCCCCTGACTCACTCTCTACCAAGCTGCATGGCTAGATTACAGCTCCCATGATGCACCACTGGGTTGCAGTGCACCCTGGGAGACGTAGTCCAGCGGGAGAGTTTCAGCCCATTGGGGAGACTAGGAAGGTGAGGTTGCTGTCCCCACAATGCACTGCACCAGTCGGGTGGGTGGAGGAGGCTGGAATGCAGTGTATTATGGGAGCGCTTGTCCATGATGCAGCATGGGAAATGTAGTCCGGTCACAGAAGGGACAAGGGACAGGGTGTGGCATTGTGTTTCCAAATAGAGATTTTTCCTGAGGGTTGGTTTTGATCCCCAAAAAATCTAATTTTTCCATCAGAAGCAGAAACTTTCTGCATAAAAATGTGCTCCCCTCCCCCCCAACGCTATGGAAAAAACTATTTTACACAGGGACCCAAAACAACCCGGAGGGGACGGAAGGGGAGGACCCACCCTGGGCAGGTGGGCGGGGATGGGGGGTAGGGCAGGTGGGCAGGGATGGGAGGGAAGCTCACAAAGTGTTTAAAGTTGCTCTGAAGAAGATGGGGGAGGCCCATCCCCCGTCCAGCAATAAATTCTGCCACCTACCCCCAAATATAGCAGTCCCCCACTAATCCCTCTTTAATTCTGCCCCATGCCAGT